GCGTGCAAGGGGGAAAAGAGAGCGTGCAAGGTGGAGAAAGGAGGGAAAGAAAGAGAGATGGGGAGGTCGGAGAGGGGAGAGAGAGCTGGGACGTGGGGCAGTACACATAATGGTGGAGTGAGTGGTAGTGATGGGCGTAAAAAGCTGGGACATGGGGCAGTACACATAGTGGGGAGGGGGGTAGGATATGGGCCATGGGGCAGCACATATAATGGAGGAGTTGGGGTGGGGTTGTAGGGACTGGGCCATTACACATAATGGTGGAATTTTGGGGGCTAGGAGCTGGGACATGAGGCTACACATAATAAAGGAGTCATCTGGTGGATTCCATAGAGGTTGTTCTCATAATAGTGGTGGTGGGGGGGGGGGCTTAGGAGGGGGCCATGGGGCAGTACACATAATGATGGAGTTGGGGGAGGTAGGGGCTGAGCCATAGGGCAGTATACATAATGGTGGAGGGGAAGGCGGATAAGAGCTGGGCCATAGGCCGGTACACATAATGGTGGAGTCACCTGGTGGATTCCATAGAGGTTGTACACAACAGTGGGGTGGGGGGTTAGGAGCTGGGCCATGGAGCAGTACACATAATGATGGAGTTGGGGGAGATAGTCACCTGGTGGATTCCGTAGAGGTTGTACACATAATGATGGAGTTGGGGGAGATAGGAGCTGGGCCATAAGGCAGTATACATAATGGTGGAGGGGAAGGCGGATAAGAGCTGGGCCATAGGCCGGTACACATAATGGTGGAGTCACCTGGTGGATGATGTAAATTCCGTAGTGCAGCTGCTGTCTCTGCAGGAAGGGGTGCAGGTAGTACAGCAGGTGTCTCAGGTGTAACTCTCGGTTCCTGTGCGGGATGATGATAGCCGTGCGATGGCGGGACTCGCAGTTCGGTGGCCGGTATATACCTCCCCGTACCACCAGCCGGTTCTTCTCTTGTATGCGCTGGAGGGTCGGCACCCGGCTGAACATTACCGTTATCGGACCCACTGCAGGAAAAGGGAAGGCAGTTAATAACTGGACAAGCGCTCTTCTGTATGCTGTGTCTGTGAGTGAAATCGGTCTCATCCGTCTGCTGCTTCTCCTTCATTGTCCAATGAAAGAATGGGAGCAGGGAGAGGACCGAACTGTATTACATAACTGCAGCAGAGAAAAGTCAGGTCACCAGGCTGACAGTGATGTAATGAATATTCTGAGGTTGTATTGAAATGGCACCTCAGCGATGGGCTGATCTGAAGACGGCGTTGGGGGGGGCAATACATTTCCTGAACTCACCCAGGTACGGCGATTTCTCCGGACACCATGGCGGCAGTAGGCCCTCTTGCGTCCCAGGATGAAGCGTGGCTTGAATTCGGGTGAGGTTGGTGTAGACGTCATGGGTGTGGCTGTAGTCAAAACTGGGTTCTGGAGTTCGACCAAAAATGGAGGCGAGGCTGCGCAGACCACCAAACGAGAAATACATCATGAAGGCAAACTGGAAGCCAATCAGCATCGCCAGGGTGCACGGCCTCTCCAGAATCCGGCGAATCATCTTCTCCTGTGCGGGACAGAAAATGAAAAGGCACGGGTCACTTTTTACTTTCATGGTTTCTTTGAAAGGGATAGTCCACCCAAAAATGAAGTAGAATTACAGTTCTCCAAGAAGTACCTATGACTGAGCTGTCCTGATTACCAAATATAATCCATTTATATGCTGGAGCTTTTTTTGGCACTTGTAGGGCCTGCCAGTGGCGGAACTACCAGGGTCGCAGCAGTCGCCGGCGCGACCGGGCCCTGGCGTTCCGCCACTCGGAGGGGCCAGGAAGGAAGAAGGGCCCCGACCGCGGCAGTGGAGTAACAAGCGGGGGGCCCGATGGAGCGGCAAAGGCAGACAGACGAGCGGGAGGGGTTTGCACCGGTCGATAGCAGTGATGCGGGCGGGCCGGCCGTGAACACGGCCGCGAGGACACAGCAGCAGCCGTCCTGATAGTAAAGTGAGCCCAGTCTGGATGTTCCCGGCCGCTGTCCCCCACGGTAGTTTGTGTTTTGTTTTTTTTACAGCCTACTTGAGTTTCCTTCAGCTGAGAGGACCGTGACATGTGAGGTAAGTGCTTTCCATTATAGAGCATGGAACAGAACATGGCTGAATTTGGAACTGACTATATTCTATTCCATGCTCTATAATGACATTACTAGAAAACTACAAGTCAGCACTACAAAACTACATACAGTTCCATGTACGATAGAAGGCTGTTTTAATTACTGTCCTCATGAAAGTACTAGTAATACAAAGTCATTATAGAAACAAAGAATAGAACATAGTTGAACTTGAAATTTACTGCACTATAATGCCATTGTATTACTAGTATTTTCATGAGCCTTCTATCATACAGGGGACTACAAGTCCCAGCATACACTCACTGTCCCTGTACACCTCTCACATATCACCCAGTGAACTACTGCAGGGGAATGGCATGCTGGAACTTGTAGTTCCCTGGGTGATTTATATGTGGGGGTGTATAAGGACAATGAGGGCACGATGGGACTTGTAGTTCCCTGGTTGATGTGGAGGGTGTAGTTCCCTGGTTGATGTGGAGGGGTGTATAGGGACAATGAAGGCATGTTGGTTGTAGTTGAACTATAAGTCCCAGCATGCCTTCATTGTTATACCCCCAGGGGCCTTGAAAGGAAGAAGAGGGCCCAGCAACCGCCGAGGCCCCCGACATTGCCTCCTGGGACTACAGCTCCGAGCAGGCCAGTGCTCCGCAGCGCGCCGGGGGGCCCTTCATGGCTTCTTGCACCGGGGCCCTGAGGTTCCTAGTTACGCCTCCGGGGCCTGCTAATACGCAAATGACAGGTTCCCTTAAACTAGCGCTCTGGAGTTATATGTATGGCCGCCCTTCTTTAATGAACCTGTCAGCCATTATAAACTTTGTATTTACAAATATGAAGCGCCAATCTTGTGAATGTGCCTAACTAAGTGATGACTAAATAACGTGTATACCTCTATTGATCCATCGACCTATATTCCAACCGTGATGAGTGAGAAAAATGTAATATATATATAAATAAATAAGCGATCAGTATGTATAGGTCACTATACACCTTCAAAATTATCTAGTGTCCAAAGTATATCCGCCAAACATAAAAAGCAAAAATCAGTATATAACACTATATAGAAGTGAAACAGTGCAAAAATGAGTGACTGAGTTGCGTACTCGTAACACTATATATACACCTGTGTATCTGCGGTTCGGTTATTCAATAACCCTGGACAGTGAACCCCACAGTATCCATTGTAAAATATTAATATTAGTGTTGAAACACCGTGAAAAGTCCATATAATCCTATAGCATTCCTGGTGCGCAAAGTGTATCACAATCTGTGCGTTGATGCGAGAGAGAGAGGAGAGGGAGAGAGGAAGAGGGAGAGAGGAAGAGGGAGAGAGGAAGAGGGAGGGAGGGAGGGAGGGAGAGAGGGAGGGAGAGAGGGAGAGAGGAAGAAGTAGAGAGGGAGAAGGAGAGAAAAAGAGAAGAAGGAGAGAAAAAGAGAAGAAGGAGAGAAAAAGAGAAGAAGGAGAGAAAAAGAGAAGGAGAGAAAAAGAGAAGAAGGAGAGAAAAAGAGAAGAAGGAGAGAAAAAAAGAAGGAGAGAAAAAGAGAAGGAGAGAAAAAGAGAAGGAGAGAAAAAGAGAAGGAGAGAAGGAGAGAAAAAGAGAAGAAGAGAAGGAGAGAAAAAAGAGAAGGAGAGAAAAAAGAGAAGAAGGAGAGAAAAAGAGAAGGAGAGAAAAAGAGAAGACGGAGAGAAAAAGAGAAGGAGAGAAGTCGGAGAGAAAAAGAGAAGGAGAGAAAAAGAGAAGGAGAGAAAAAAGGAGAAGGAGAGAAAAAAGGAGGAGAAGGAGAGAAAAAAGGAGAAGGAGAGAGATGGAGAGGAGAAAATTAGAGGTTTGTGCCCGAACCTGGCACAAACCAAACACGAACACAACAACAACCATAAGACCTCAAACCGCACCAATAAACCAAAACAAGAAGAAAGACATTAACCCGAAGAACAGGGCCTCGCAGATGGCAGGAATGGTGGAAACCACTTGTCCCAATATGGACATCAAGACCTCCACAGAGAAGAGACATGGAGGAGACACGGACCCTCCGCAGCACACTATACAAAAATTAATGTGAATTGAACCCATAATGTAATACAGGGACAACCATCCACAATCTGGTTGTCCCGTGTAATTCTGCTCATTACATCGCTAGCAATCAGTAGCTGGAACATTCAGGGTCTGAATGCCTCAGCCTTTGGATCCAAAGTACACGATCCAGACTTCAAACAGACTGCACAACGTGGACATACAAATCGTGCTGGAAACATGGAGCCGGGCACAGGATGACTTACAAGCACCTACTGGCTACAGAGAATTTTCTGTGCCTGCCCAGAAGGATAAAAGCATCAAATCGGGTCGCCATTCAGGAGGAATATACATCTGGTATAAGGAGGAGCTACACGAGAACATCAAAGCAATCAAAAAAAGGAGAGAACCACATCCTGGATAAAAATAAGTAGCTCCATCCTCGCCTCTCAGTCAGACATCTTCCTGTGCGCAGCTTATATTCCACCACCAGAGTCTCCATACTTCAGACAAGACACCTATGAGGTTCTACAAAACGAGGCCACCCACTTCCAGTCCCTAGGACACGTGCTTTTCTATGGAGACCTCAACGCTAGGACAGGGAGAGAAAAGGACTATGATGTGAACACATACATATTGGGGGCTACAAACTACTGTCAGGGGTCAATACAGACACAAAGAAACAGCTATGACGGTACACCAACAAGAGTGGAAGAAAATTGCTGAATTTGTGCCGGAGTCTACATCCTTAACTGCCATGGGAGACTCTCTGGGAAGGTATACATTAAGCTCCCATGTAGGTAACAGTGTGGTAGACTATGCCATCACAGACATGAGCCCCGCTCACATCAACGCCTTCACAGTCACCCCACAAACCCACCGTCAGACCTACCTACCACCATCATTTAAATGGTCCAGACAGTCTACCATAGCCTACAGAGAGGTCATCAACAGACCTGACATTAAAAAGGACAGCTAGCAGACGTCCAAAACAACACCTATGTACAGGGGCGTAACTAGAAATCACAGGGCGTAACTAGAAATCACAGGGCCCCATAGCAAAATTTTGTATGGGGCCTTGTGATTTCTAGTTACACCCCTTGCAGAGCCCACTTGAGATCTCACACAGCCCACCTGATAGTGACCCTGCAGAGCCCTCCATAGACTCTCTATGGTGGGCTTTGCAGGGCCTCAGGTGGGCTGGTCACACTCCTTACCTGTCAGCCCCGATCCGCTGTCTGCCTCCTCCACGATCACTGGAGGGCCCCCCCTCTCCTCAGTCACCAGGCCACGCCTCCTCCGCTGCTGCCCCGGGCCCCGCCTCCTCCTCCACTGCTGCCCCCGGGCCCAGCCTCCTCCTCCACTGCTGCCCCCGGGCCCAGCCTCCTCCTCCACTGCTGAGTGTCACTGACTCAGCAGCGGCTGTGGAGAGGAACCAGCCACAGCACAGATCACTGTGAGTGATCTGAACAGCAGAACGTTCCTCTTCACAGCCGCCAGTGACACCCAGCAGCACGAGATGCCTGGCCAGGCCCCCCTGTGCCCCGGGCCAAGTGGCCGCCTGGGTCGCTACGGCGATAGTACATAGGCAGTGGCGTAAAAAAATCCCCATGGGTGAACCAAGCAGCATAGGACCTCCACAAAATTCTACACACCATCGCAGAGACCTCCAACATTAAAAAAAAGTCAACTTCAAGAAACCATCCAATAAGTGGTTTGATACAGAATGCAGGACACTAAGAAACAGCCTACGAATGGTCTCAAATAAGATACAGTGACCCCGACAACACCGACCCGAACATCGCTCATGGAGTCCTACAGAAAAATTACAAAAAAGTCCTCAAAAAGAAAAAAAATTTAAAAAAAAACTTTATCTCCAAAAACCTTCAACAACTGGAAGAGGCTCTTCGGGAAAAAACTCTTTCCAGGAAACCTGGAATCCAATCGGCTCAGGATCCAAGAAAAACAACCTCCACAGCCAAAATGGCAACATCTGGCTCAACTACTTCAAGAACGTGTACAAAGGCATTCCCAAAGAGCAGCTGACTGTGGAACAAGAACACATAATCATCAGAAGACTAAATGAAATGGAGGAAAACAAATTAAGGATTTCCAAAACCCATTAGATACACCCATTACACAAGTAGTAGCAGAGAAAATGTAAGATCTGCGAAGTAAAAAAGCCGGTGGGATGGATGGAACCCTTCCAAAGATGATTAAACACAGTTCTCCAGATGTACACGTCGCAATATGTAAAGTCTTCAACCTGGTCCTGAGCTTTGGGTACTACCCTCAAGTATGGAACCAAGGCCTCATAACACCCATCCATAAGAGTGATGACCCAGCCAACTACAGAGGGATATGTGTCAGCAGCACGCTGGGAAAACTGTTCAATAGTATTCTGAACAAACGAACCCTCAGCTTCCCGA